CCCCCCCAACCCCACACACACATATACACACACAGCCCTTCCCCTCCCCACCGCATCCTCCCCATCTCCCCGGCACCCCGGGGGTACTGGGGGGGTTTTGGGGGTGCAGGACTTACTTTCCATGCCCACTTAGTTTCAACTAGGGAATCAAGAGAAGCAAAAGCAATTTTTTCCCTTTTTGACACCCGCTTCCCCATTGGCTCCCCCCGGGTCAGCTGACTTTGTCATTTTGTCTGTCCTGGAGCAGAGCCTTCCCTATAACAATCTAGTTCAGACCTTACAAACTGGAGACAGAAATAAATATTAAAGAAATCACACAAGCCAGGTATAGCAAGAGGCGATGAATTCCTATTTTACCAACCCATCTTTATCCTGCCATCTCACCAGTGGCCAAGAGGTGCTTCCCAACGTAGCCCTCAATTCCACTGCCTATGACCCTGTCAGGCATTTTTCTACTTATGGAGCAGCCGTTGCTCAAAACCGGATTTATTCATCTCCTTTTTATTCACCGCAAGATAATGTTGTGTTTAGCTCCAGCCGAGGACCTTATGATTATGGATCTAATGCTTTTTACCAAGAAAAAGACATGCTTTCTAGCTGCAGGCAAAATTCTATGGGACATAATACACAGACATCAATCGCACAGGATTTTACCAGTGACCAAAACAGGAACACTTCGCAAGAACAAAAAACTAGCATTCAAATATACCCCTGGATGCAACGTATGAACTCCCACAGTGGTAAGTTTTACAGCTCGGAGATATAAATTAAATAAACTGAACCATCTTTACGACCTTCTCCCCTAGCAGAACAGGCTGAGCGACTTTTTATGGCCCCATAAAAACAAGAATATAGCTCCTTCACAGTTGCAGCTACAGGCCTTTTATTTGTTAAGTTGTTGGGAGCAAATCTGGCTTGTTACGCTCTTTCTAATTAAAAGACTTTCGAGAGTATAAAATATCTATAATAAAGTGCAGCGAGCTTTGCTCGGGAGTGAAGCACCTAAATATGAACCGGGGTTTGGAAAAAGAATTTAAAAAATAATAATAAAAAAAGAAAGAAGAAGTTTTAATGATGGGTGAGGGAAGTGAGGGGGTGGAGGGTTCCTTGGGTGAAGAGGGGTTGGGGGTAGCTCACCCCCCCCTCCCGCCTTCTCGCCTTGGTTCCCCCAAATCTTCCAATTGGGAGGAATAATGTGGGGGAAAAAAATAAAAAATAAAATAAAATAAAAAAGGGAGGGGGGGTTGTAACATCCCGGGAGGAAAGGGTGCGCGCAGAGGGTTAATTTAATGAAAAAATAGGGAGGAAATAGAGCTTAAATAGAGATGAAACAGAGATTAAATAGAAAATAAAGATGAAATAGAAAATAGAGTTGAAATAGAGAGGAAATAGGGATGAAATAGGGATAAAATGGAGGGGTAATAGAGTTGAAATGGAAAGAAAATAGAGTTGAAATAGAGGAAAGGGAGTTAAAATAGAGAGAAGATAGAGTTAAAATAGAGAGAAAATCTAGAGAAAAGAGTTAAAGCAGAGAGAAAATAGAGTTAAATTAGAGAGAAAATCATTAAAATGGAGATAGGGTCAAAATAGAGAGAATAGAGAGAAAATAGTTAAAATAGAGATAAAATAGAGTTACAATAGCTAGAAAATAGTTAAAATAGGGATAAAATAGAGTTACAATAGCTAGAAAATAGTTAAAATAGAGAGAAAATAGAGATGACATCGAGTGAAATAGAGAGAAAATAGAGTTAAAATAGAAATTTAATTTTTTTTCAGGGGGGGGTGCTG